AATCATATCCAACACATCACAATTTAAAGAACCAATAGTGCGGTTCAACTTTCACATCCGTTTCCCAAATTTTCGACTCAAACAAACAGAAAAATCCAGCGGAATCAGAATTTCCAGATAAAGCACAAAAACACAATTTGTGACTAAAAGTGTCATAACTTGATGAAAAAAGATGATAATTGGATGAATCAGGAATTAATTTGAAGTTCATATAATAGGCTTTCGACGAAGGAGCCACTTGATGGATGCGGATACACACGTTCTTTGTGGAAAGTAGTTTATGCTCAGTGCAATACATGCAGACTCATCTCCTGGAAATATTACAGACACATCTGATTGCCGTCGATGTGACGCCTAGATCTTCGTGACTCTCTACCCAAGGTCTTCCCCTTTCCAATTACCAATACATCACACATCGCAATGATCGAAGGTCATCTTCTCCTCTTCCCTCCCACCGCGAATTAAGAAACCATCCGCGATCTACCGACGGAGAGGCCGATGGAGCACTTTTCATTTCCGTGAGATACAAGTTTATTTATTTTTTTTACCTCTCATTTTGCAATAGTTGAGACAACAGCCCGATGCTCGCGACAGGTAAATTGCGCTTCATACATAATAGCGAGTAAGAATTGACTCATCGCAGGTAATAAAACACGTGTTAATTAACAGGTAGGAATTACTTTCTGGCCACTAATGGAAGATTATAAATCTATGCAGCGGCTGTAAATTCATCTCTTCTGAGATTTTACAACTGCTATTCATCCTGATTTTTTAATCGATAATTCATGGGTTCTTCCATAAATTCTCACATCCATTGAAAAACGCGATGACTCACATTTCAGTGATTTGAAAAAAAAAATCTAGGAGGTGTGTTCGGTAATGAAATCTCCATTGTGAATTTTGTAGAGAATAAAAACTACTCTCTAAAAGTGTTATAATATATTTATCTTCCTCATGAGAATACTGCCATGATTAAACAATTAAAATACAGTAAACGTTAATTAAAAGAAACTTTAATAATAAGGTTTAGTAAAATATGTCAGAAGATATTTAATGTGGAGCGATGTGATCTCATTCGGGTTGAGAGTCGAACTGCCCGATGGATTTTCCGTTTTGGGAACCTTAGGCCCAAGTCCTCTTTGTTTATGATTCAGGCTAGAGTCTGCATAGTCAATGTCCTAAATGATTTCCAGATGAAAAACCCCGAGGTGTCGGGTAGAGTCAAACAAGGCCATCATTGTCCTCAACTGTTTATTTTCCAGTCCTAGTCGAACGCATTTAAATTTTCCCTCACAATTTCACAACTTTTAAGCTCTCATCGAATTTCTGATTTACAGAAGAATCAATCAATAATGACCAATAATTTTTCTAATTGTTTCCATTAAATCCACGAGTTTTCTTCCAGACGATTAATCAAGAGCCGTGAGACTAATGACTCAACACCGAACATGAATTATTCCTTTTTGAATTCTTCACGGTTACGGTATGACTCAGTGTAATGGGAGAAAAAAAAATAAGGCGGAAATTACGGATTGTGTAACAGCTTGATGATAATGTTTCGAAATGAAGCGAAGGTCAGGGATTGATTGATGGGTTTATGAGGAAAAAAAAAATGAAAGGATATTATTTAAGGAGTGATAATGGCATTCATGCAAATTTCCTCGTGATTTTTAATACTTTATTTACTTTATTATTATTTTTTCTTGCAGACGATGTTTACAGACGGTCTTCTGACACTCCACTATGGGAAACACCCCGCCACCTTGGCTGCTGAGGTCGGGGCATGGTACAACGGTGATCGTCACGTTGACGTAACCTTGGCGTGTGACGATGGTTCCGTTGTCAGGGCACATCGTGTTGTTTTGGCAGCTGCTAGTCCACTATTGGCTAGTCTCCTTCGTAATCCAGCGCTTGATCATGTTGTTCATTTGTCTGGAGTTAGGAAGACACAGCTCAATCTTTTACTTGAAATTTTGTACAACGGCGAAGCTGTGATACCTGTGAGTTCGATCAATCAATCAATCCATCATATCAGAACAAAAAACTAATCAAGTATACTCGATTTTCAATTCGATATCGACAAGAAACTGATTTTCTTAAGATTCTATTATAATATACTATGAATAAATTAAATAATATTAAAACGTTTATTTTTAATGTGCGCAGTCAACGTCTTGAAGTATTCCACATATTGACGTAAAAAATTATCAACTTATATTATAAATTAATTATTATAAATCATTAACTTTTCACGTTTTGTCATTATTTAATGGCTCATGAAATTTTGTGGTGGTATGTATATTTTTTCTACAGTTTTATGATTCTTCTTAAAAGTTTAGAAAACACGCAGGAAAATCCTCGTGAGTCAGTAAATAATATTAAAAAACATTAATTTTGGCTTCAAATTTAAAGACTAATGCAAGGTGATGCTTGTTTGGTTGAGACCTTGAGGCCCAAATTGAGGCCCATTCTTATGTGCATTTTGTGGAATAGTTCATTAACAGATTGATAAATTGATTGATCAGGCGTTGTCAAGAAATGTAATTAGGCATCGCAATTGAAGATCTGAAAATTATTGACGAATCATCAAAATCATGTACTACATTGAAAATCGAATATACGAGATGCGAGTGTTGAATAAGGGGAATGAAAAAAAGAAACATTTTTGTTGAAAGAATCAATTTGACGTTAAATCTATGAAAATTAATTAATTTTCAACACGGCACTTATGATTTGGGATGTAATCATATTGTGATTCGAGGAAGACATTCCAGAAGTAATTGCTAATATAATAGTTTAAACAAATGAGCACATCACCCTTCATATTGATACATAATCCAAATCCTATACAACGACTTCTTTGACGTTACAAAAATGTGAAACGCTATAAAAACCTCCCTCTCTGCTATGCAAAAATTATTGCCGTATGGAGGATGGCGGTGCTCGATATATGGAAGAAAAGTAAAATCAAGAAATGGCTAGGGGCCGGATAGCTCAGTTGGTAAAGCACCCGATGCATAATCGGAAGGTCCCGCGTTCAAATCCGGTCTGGACCATCCATTTTTTCAGTGATTTATCTTGTAATAATTATATCGAGAATCATCATGTTCTCCTTTCTATCGAATCCAAATCCTATACAACGACTCCTTTGACGTTATAAAAATGTGGAACGCTATAAAAAACTTTCCTCTCTGCTATGTAAAAATTACTGTGCTCGATATATATAAGAAAAGTAAAATCAAGAAATGGCTAGGAGCCGGATAGCTCAGTTGCGTTCCAGTTTATAAAATAATTCCCCTCTTCTATGTAAAATATATTTAGGTTTATATTGGTGTGATAAATTACTGATGAGTAATTATTGTTTGTTAGTCAGCGGAATTGATTCCCGTGCGTGAGCTCTTCGACCTCCTCCAAATAAAATCAGCGCTCTTCGATCCAAATCAGCCGCAGACGTCATCAGACTCGGATCCATTGAGGATAACAACACCACAGCCATCAGACAGTCAGGAGAGCTCCAGTTATGAATCACAGTACGACAAACGGTTTTTATCCCTTTCGGTTTTATGAAGTTATCGCCATAAGGATGAAGTTATCAATTTGGCTTTTTCAGGGCGTCGAATAATCCCGCTGATTGCTGTTCCGTGCTCATCAAGAGTGAGGGCTGTGATGAAGATGAAGTGGAGCAGGATGTCGATGTTGAGGGGATGGAGGGCGATGGCATGTTGTCGGATAATCGGGAAAGTAGTATTGAACCTCCTAGGAGAAGGGACAGCTCGGATCCAGTTAATCTCAGTCTCAACTCCGGAACGTCGACCAAAAGCGAAAGCTCACATGACGGTACACACAGGTAAATGAGAAATAATTACATAAAAATTATTGAAATTGAAAAAAAAAAAACAATAATGCAGTTTCAAAACTGAAAATTCAGATCTTAATATCTCCAGAATGGCAATTTTAGTCTAGTCTCTGGTATAATAAGAGGAAAATTTATGCCGAACAAATTGTTGGGACCAGAATTGAAGTCGCATTTGAATGACAATCATTAATTACGAATTGTTAATAACACCTGAGGTTTGATCGAAATTATTTGAAGAATGGAATCCGAAATATTTGGTAATTATTACCAATGTATAATTACTGGCGATAATTGAGAAATGAAATTATTCAATTTGTTAGTTTAATTGAAATGTAATCCATGTATTGGGTGAATTAAAAAATGGAATTGTTGAATAATAAACTTCCAGGTCAGAAAAGCCACTGCTGGAGAGGCGAGAGTCGCTGGAAGAGGCGGAAGAAAGGCGGAGACAGTTGGCAGCCCGTTTGTCATTGGGTTTGGAACCCGGAAAACGAAAACCCGAGGAAATACCACTCACACCAGCTGAGGCATACGTGGTAACACCACATCGTAAACGTCGACCGGGTTTTCACAATTCACCAGCACAAAATCCAGCTTTTGTACCGTTCAATCCTGGATTCGAAACGCCTAGAAGGCTAACGGCTCCACATCCACTCAGTCTGTCAGCACCACCGTATCTAGTGAGTGTTTTCTATTTTACGAGGACAAAAACATTTATCAATTGCCAATGACTGATTCACGTTATCTCATTCACATTTCCGATGACTGCTGTTGAATAAGGTTTTATGAATGAATTTATGACTCATGGGATGTTGATTGAGATGGCGAAAATGGCGGGTGCAATTTTTTCAGAAAAAATCATTCAATTGATTGATAGAATTTATCAATGAATGAGGAAAAATCGTAATGAATAATTTATTCCGGTGAAATAAGAAGGAAGAAATAGATGGAAATGAGTTCTTATTGATCAGCGTCATAATGAGGAATCACTACAATAAGAAGTATTTGTAAATTGTAAATGAGCATAATTTAATTCTTTCTCGACTTGTGAAAAGTGAAGATTATTCTGATCGATTACTGGGACTCATGGCTTGCATGTTATCCGAAAATACATTTCATATGCAAAAGATCTGACATTTTTTGACATTATTATGCTGAGTGCATAATTAACTCTACATGAAAGCTGCACCTGAACAATTGATAAAAATTCGCACTTCTATTCTCAACTGAGATGAACGCATTGACAATTCTCATTTTTTCCAAATTTCCCTCCATTATTTATTATATTACGTTAAAACCTCGACGTGCAGAAAATCTCGCGTCTAACCTCTAAATTTCAAAGATATTTTGAAATAATTTTGACAATTTCCCACGACAAAATTATCAACCAAAATTGAAGACTCCGTAAAAAATCGAATTATTCAATAATATAATTATTCAATAATATAATTGTTCAATAAAATAATTATTGAATAATATAATTATTCAATAAAATAATTGTTGAATAATATAATTATTCAATAATATAATTATTCAATAATATAATTATTCAATACACAAAATAATGCACTCGTAATATATTCCTTGATTCGATTCAAACTAAATGCCAAGTACTCATCCCCAAAGGCAATTATCAAAATGAAAAAGGAAAAGCGAGAAATCTAATGACAATTTGATGATTTTTTTCCAGCAGGACAGATCAGTGACACCACCAGGTGGTTCACATCGTCCTCCAAGTGCTGATCCAGCATCAGTCGCTGGCCTTGAACCACCGTGGGGTGCCTGGACCCTACCTCCAGCTCGTGCACCACCACCACCATCCACCGAAGATCCACCAAAGTGCAATCCCGTTCGTGAATACCGCTGCACCTACTGTGGAAAACAATTCGGCATGTCCTGGAACTTGAAGACTCACCTGCGAGTACACACCGGAGAGAAACCATTTGCCTGTCGACTATGTGTCGCAATGTTCAAGCAAAAAGCCCACCTACTCAAACATCTGTGCTCAGTTCACAGAGGTGTCATAGCAGCTCCTGACAACACATTCACATGTTGCTTCTGCTCACTGAGTTTTGATAGTCTTCAGGAGCTCATCAGGCACTTGTCAGGGCCCCACAACAATCTTTTACTTAGTAAAAATCTGCATGACTAACGACGGTAATCAAGGTTGACTCGGCCCTTCCAGAAAATCGGTTACACCCTTCAATATTACCTATCCATAATATTATACGACAAAACAACCCAAAATATTAGATTCTAAAAAAATACAGCGATTTACCTCAATCTTTCGATTTACAATTCAATAAAAATGTGTCAGTTTTAATATTGTAAAATAAACCGGTTCTAGTATCGGCGAGTAAATCATATTTGTCGTGTAATATTTGTCAGGCATAATATCCCCTCCTAAAATATTTATGGGTGTTACCTAAAAATTATCCCCCAGTTAATTTCAATAGTCAGTAATAAGGTGTTTAAAAATTATCTGATGTTTTCCTTAAACTTCTGGGTCTAGTAACAATTGTGTCAGGTATTGTAAGTTGAAAATCCCTTGGCACATACACCGGCCGAGAAGTCTGAGAAAAATATCCGGTTATTTTCAAAGCATGAGTGACATTTGACGGATTATTTTTGGTCTCGAAGACTGCACTCCAATTGGCTGAAATTCCAGTTTGAAAATTAATCTTTAAAATTTAGTTTTCACCGTTAATGTTCGATTTCGTTGGACATTTTATTGTGAAAATAAAAGCCGAGGTCGGCCTTGTTCGTCGATTATAACGAGTTCAATACTCGATAATAAATTGTATAGAGATTGAATATTATATTTGAAAATACTGAAAACCAAGGGATAATGACGATTCATCGGTGTATGAAATGGCATTTCCTTTTGATTCCTCCAGCTAGTGAAATGAAAGCGTAGTTTGCACGATTAGGATAACACATAGACTAAAGTATTTTGAATAAGGAATAAATAAAAAAAAAAATCTCCGAGAAAAGACAGAGAGTGGAAAATAAATAGATCGCGTCTTTATTTTATCCCCGCCATATTGGCTGTTCACTGATCACAAAACTAGTGGTTATTCGAAAAATATGACAATAATAATTTTCACTTTATGTCTTGATCGCAGTTCTCCTGTAAATAATGTTACGTAATTATAGAGATATGGAAAAAATGGACATTATTATTTATTTAACACTTTGCAAAGGGACCAACCGACTTTCCACCGATTTTATTATTATTTCTTCTCTTCTGTTTTAAGTAGTTCTAGTTGTTCTTTCTGCCCTGTCATTCGTCGAGACACTAGTGAGCTTCTTTACTCTAATTGAATTTGCATCGTTAACGAAGGAAAATATATATATCTTTTGTTTGTTAAAGATTTTTCTTGTCGTGATGTAATAACCACCGAATTATTTACGTCCATTGCTGGAAGATCGTCGTACCTTTGGCTCATTGGGGGCTGATTGTTATGAGTTTTAAACGTCAGGAATTGCTTCAAGAATTCATTACCAAAATTTTCTACAAGTCGTTTTTTGCGATTTGACATTTTGTAATAAGAGAGAAAAATTGAAAATATCTATCGATTTCTTCCCAATTTTTACGTTCATTTACTTTCGATTTTCTGGTGATTATTTTCTCGTTAGAAAGACGAAAAATTGATGAATTGTCCAAAGATTTTTCATCGATTTAAAAATTCGAAAAAACTCGCATAAGCGATGAGCAATTTGAATTCGTACAAAAAATTGTACTTTTGACAATAAAAATTTTCAATGCGTGATAAAAAAGGGCGAATGAATAATCAGTGTCTCCGGTTAATTGTGGATTTGTTAAATAAAAAACGAGTGCTCGTTTGGATGTTGAAAAAACTCATGACAATTTTCCCTTGAAATTTTGATTTTTCGGAGAAAAGGGACAATACGCCTTGAGTGCCTTGTCCAATTGGGTCCAAAATTGTGGTCGATTGGGGGGGCAGTGATTTCATGTGTTCATAGCCTATAAGTATGTACGAAAGTATATGCCCGCTTAGAAAAAAAAAACCTAGATATTAATAACGAATAGATGAATAAATAAAAAATAAAAAAATCAAGTAAAAGATTACAAAAAATTTGTAGGCAGGTTATTTTACAAAATGTTAATTAATATGTTTAATTAAGGGCCAATTTCACCGGTTGTTAGCCAACTAAGGTTGAGACAGTTTTAGCATTGACGCAGGACGTCAGAATAATTTTTCTCTCATAGATAAACCTCGAGGTGCCTTTGAGGACTCGGTCTAACAGTAACAATCATCCCCTCTTTTATTATTATTATAAAACGTCTGACAGACCTCCTCGTCAATGAATAATTAACGCTGGAATTGGTGGACAGTGTTTTATCATTTTTGTTGTCAAAATTACCAGTCAAAATTACTTTAATTAATGATTCTTAAATGTGAAATTTGTAAATTTTTCATGAATTTTTCAATACCGAAGAATGTTGTTAGAAAATTTATGTGAGTATTGAACGGGAGGTGAAGAAAAAAAAAAAGGTGAATTTTTCACGAAGGAAGATGGAGATGAATAAATAAAACTCGTCGTGCCGCGAAATACCCCAGCTGAATGCATAATCAATAGGCGCACACTATAAATATTATTTCTAATGAATTTTTCTTTCCCCCCGAAGCAGTACACCAAAGATATGTTCGTAGGGCCGTTCGAGTGAAATAATTAATTAAGTTATTATTATAATTTTCTTCTTCGTACGTGCATACCAAGAAGCAAAAGTTAAACAAATTGAGTGAAAAAAATGGAAAGTTAATTGAGAAATAATTAAGATATAAATTTTAGTTATGAAAGCGCCGAGACCTGAAAAACAAAAAAAATAGAATGAATTCGACTTACGACAGATGCCTACGACAGATCGCTGTACACGCATATTATGAGAAGAATTACGTAATAAAAAAATGAGAAAAGTATAATCGATAGATTACTCACGCTTTCCTCTCCCCCCCCCCACCCCCCT